GAACGAGCCGAACACGAGCTGTTCGCGAACAACGAGCCAAATTGACAGCCCATAGTCTATGGGCTTCTTTGGAATCAATTTTGTTTTTTTTTATTTTTCTTTTGTTTTAAATACATGTTTGTTTAATGTTTTTTTTCTAAAAATAAATTAATATGTTTTCTAAAACACTCCAAATAATTTTTAGTTAAATTTGTTGCGAGTGTTTTTGAAAATAAACATGTTTTATTTCAAATCAAAACATAAATAAAACAAAATAAAAGGAAAAAATAAAAAATAAAAATGTTCTAAAATGGCCACTATACGAATCAAACATGTTTTCAAAACAAAATAAAAAATAACAAAAGAATAGAAAATAAAAGTGATGCTAAACTGGCCCTAATTATACATAAAGTATACATACCAATGGAGGTTCTGATTCTTGAGTCACGTAAGTTTGTATTTCAAGATGCAACCTTTCAGAGAAAGATGGACAAATGGATTGTACATCAATTGTTGAAAGAAGTGAGAGCTCCGCAGTTTTTTTGACAGCCCAAATAACCAAAATGTTCTTCGGCAAGTAGGGTTTTCCCTCGTTAGACAGATGCAGAATATCACTCAAGATAGCGAAAAAAGGTGAAATTCCAATGCCTCCAGCAATGAGAAGAAGATTTTCATACCTAAAACAGAAGAAAAAACCAAAAATTTTGGTAATTTTGTAAACAATTACTTCTATGATCAAATGTTTTATATAAATAGTGTAATGCTTAAAGAGAACTACTATTTATATTAGGGACATTTACATACATATCACCCAATCATCATGTATTTACATATCTCACACCTAAACTCTCATTTTTACATTTATACCACCCAAATCTTTCATCTCACATAAAAAATGCCACTACTTTAACTTCTAAAAAGTGAAATACACTTTTTCATGCACAAGGAAGGTGGCATGTAAAAATTGAAGTTCAGTGTTAGATAAGTAAATACATAAGAAATGAGTGGTATGTATGTAAATCTTTCTTTTTTATTATAAGAGGTCAATAAGTATACTCACATCAAGTGATATGGTACTTCATGCCCATATGGCCCTTCAACAGAGGCTGTTATCAGCTTAACTTGAGACTCTAAATTATTTTGAGGGTGCTCTGAGACTGTAGTGATGATGTCCCTCAACTTACAAGTCCATTCGCCGAGTACTTTTATAAGAATTGACAAATGGTGTTTGCCGTCCAAAGGACTCGAGGAAACACTGAAGGGGTGCCATTGCAGCCATGACAATTCTCGAACTTGAAGGAAGACGAAACTCAGAGCATTATAATGGAGTCCTACAATGGTAGTGAAAAAATGTATGAAAATAACGGACTTACTATTCGGGCAGCATTTCTCATCTTGTGTTAACCAGTCATATGATTAAAAATAGGGAAATTTACATACATAGCATACAATAGTTATGTATTTACTTATCTCACATATAAACTTACATATTTACATACCTTTGGTGCTTTAAACCAATATTCATGAAAAGGTGTACTTCGCTTTTAAAAAGTGGTAGCAGTGTTATTTTTTATGTGATATTAATAATTTGAGTGCTATGTGTGTAAATATGAAAGTTTAGGTGTGAGATATGTAAATTCATTAGTATTGTCTGCTAAAGATGTAAATGCCCTATAATTATAAAAAATTGAAATCTAAGGTGTAGGTTGCGGAGACTAGAAAAATACAGAAGAAATCCAACAAAACAACAGAAAAAAATCAACAAATATACTCGGTGGCTTGGAGAGGACCAACTCTAAAGTCCCGCATGGCCGGCAAGCAGCTGAAACTACATCAACGGTTGTACGTGATTGGCAGAACCTCAGGAAGCGATCGAGAATAAAAAGGAAAATTGCCCCAGCTGCGAAACTGAATATGAAATCTCCAACATGTAGAGCTAAGAAGACGACAAAGATCACGTACAGCTGATGAGTGTAGAAGAAAACTTCGAAGTAAGCCCGCCTTACAGGATGAAGAGATGTCACCCACATCAACAAGCCAGCAGATAGGCTAATAACCCCTGGAAGATTGGCAATACCAATGTCTCTCCAGTTTAGAATCTGTAACATAAATAATGCATTTCATTGGAATAATACAGAATATGATTCAAAAACATGATGTCCACTGCTATTTAATATCGTTTGGAAGAGCCTATTTTTGGGGCATTTACATACATACCACCCAACCTAAACTTTAACTTTACATTTATAGCACCCAAATCTTTCATATCACATAAAAAGTAGCACCATTTTAACTTTTAAAAAGTAAAATATACATTTTCATGCATTAGTGGTCATGCTCTGAAGTCAATTATGGCAATGGTTGTCGCCCTGAAATTTATGTACATCCATCTTCATTAGAAATACTTCTTTTTCGTCATTCTACTAACGATTCCTCATTTCCAGCTGTTCATCATTCACGTGTATGTTGTCTTTCGTAGTGCCTTCTCAACTAACAATTAACAGGAGAACTTGCCAAGTTAAGAGTCCTATATAAAAAGCAGCATTAATAGAGTAATTCTAAGAGAGCATAATTGTGGGCGTTTTGTTTCAGAAATGCAGAATAATTGAAATGTAGAATACTTTGAATGTTTTTGATTTATTTGGTTTAGTGTACCATAAATATAGGAGATAGCGTTTTATGTTTGGTTTGAAATAAAATGAGATAATTATAAAACTCGGAGGCAAACACCTGTGATGTGCAGTATTGGCGAACAAGGGACTATTAGGTATGGCTCATATGTCAGGAATTTGGAGTATCTTGAAATTGGAGAGGTGTGTCTTCTAGAATGAAGAGGTGTGTCTCTTCATGTGAAGAGGTGTCTCTTTGATTAGTGGGTTGGGGAGAGCGAGGGCGTGTTGGCAATTTATCTATGGGTTTTTTATGTCTATATATATGTGTAACCCTTGGGTATGTAACTGAACTCCCCCTCTGAAATAGTGAAATTTGTCACTCTGCTCCCGAGGATGTAGGCATCTTTGTCGAACATCGTTAAATCTCTGTGTTCTTCTTCTGGTTGTGTGTCTATTCCTGTGTTTTCTTCGCCCTAAATTTCACAACAGGGACGGTGGTGGTGACCGGCCGATGGCAAGTTGTAGTGTCAGTGGTGGGTGATGGGCAACAGTGAAGGGCAGTGGCTACAGCAACCTTTCATATGACGTATTTAGAATTCAATTGAATCAATTAACTTTCAATTCATCAAAATTGAAATAAAATGTGAGTTTTGAATTCATAAAACTATACATTGCATTCCATTTTCATCTAACCAAACACTAAAATAAAATAAAATAAAATAAAATAAAACTTATTCTATACGTGATACCCAATTAATACAGGTGACCAACAATCACTTAGTCACACCGAGAATAGAAGTCTTTCAGTGAGTCCAAGTTATGGAAGTCTTACTGTGAGAAAATGGCAATGGTCTGTCTTCTTTTTTATTCTCCATAATCTTAACTGAAACATACGAGATCCATTTTTCCCTTAGAAGTTGAAGAGGCATTTTGAGCAGATTTGGTAGCACACAACTCTAGATGAAGCGAGGAAAACTTCTTTAAGTACGTGGGTGAAGATAGTGCTCAAGTTTCAGCACTCGCTTTAACGCATCCTCTAGAATATAATCCTCTCGAAGCACATCTTCTAACCAATCTAGGATGAAATCTGAATGAAATCTTAAAATAATAGCTCTATAATTCTCAAAATGTAACATTGGACAATTTATTCATAAAAATAAGTCTTATAATCAATTTCACATCATTAAGCATTGATTTAGAGTGGCCAATTCATCAAACAGCTAAACATGAAAGGTAAGATACATTTACTTGAGAAATTACTGCATTTCATTCCGGTTCTCGAAAGGAGCTCGTATAGTCAATGAAGTTGTTGCTTTGTATTGACCAAAAAGATATTGGCATATACAATTACATTCATACAAGAAAAATCAAACTTGTCAATTACTAAATAAACTCATCAAGCCAAAAAAATGGTCCATAATAAAATATTTGTAGATCCAAACAACCATTAAAAGTCAGAAATTAAACCTTGACAGAGGAAAACATAGAACAGTCTAGATCTCAAGATGGCACCTTAGTAATATCAAGTAAAAGGCCTCTTGATCCAATAGTGAGGTAAATATGGATTTCCCTCCACATCAAGGTATCTAGGTTTCTAATATAATCCTCTAGAGGAAAAGGGGTAGCTCTATGTCCTTATGGTTGAGCTGGATAAGGTGGAAAAGGGTAGCCCTATCTTCTCCTCCGCTGACCCAAACACATCTCACCGCCCAAGCATATAGCTACCATGTATAATGTTAGGACCTCCCTTCATCTTCGTCCTTCTTAACTACACTCACCTTCACATGTCGCCCATACTCAATCTATCATCTCTTGCCTATATACACACACCGGTCTTTGGCCAAGTCGCTCCTCGCTGTGGCTGCCAATCCTTTCTGAAACCCATCGAATTTACTCTCTCTCTCTCTCTCTCTCTCTCTCTCTGGTTCAAGCTTTTCCTGCCACCTGGCCTCACAGATCGCCACATTCCTCTTCTTCCATAACCCACAGCCATCTTACCGCTTGAGCTCGATCCTAAATCATCTCCTCGCCCCTCAACGTCAACTCCATTAACTTCACCGATGAGCTAACTCTTTTAGTCATCAACCATCCACTCACATGCTAAAGCTTCCTAGCATAACTCCTTGTAGAGTTCCAAATCTAACATCTAGCCGAAGATTTTCATTCCTATACCCTACCCGTCCATCTCCCTGGCCCTTAATTTCTCCATAAAGCTAAAATAAAAAAATAAAAACCTGGCCCTTAATTTCTCCATAAAGCTAAAATAAAATAAAAAAAAAAGAAAAGAGGAAAATAAAGTATGTATTGAACTAACGTCGCTCCAGAAAACTCGTCATTTAATTAACTTTGTCGTCGACTTATGAGCAAGTGTATATGCTAAGTGAACTCATCACAATGCTTAAGTAACCATACATGTCTTTCTCAACTTGGAGAAAAGATCATAATAATTTTATAGATTTTCGCATGCAGGTGACAAATCCATACACCTTTTTTTTGGGGTTATGAGGAAGAAGACTTTGGACCGCCAAAAATCAAGTATTCATAATTATTTTTCTTGACATGGCAAACAAATTTGTGTTTAGCGTTCTGAGATAGAAGATCCTTGGTCATAGTTTACAACACCCATACACGGTTTGCATATAGCTGCAGGTAAGCCCACATTCCCCGCAAATCCCCTTTTGTGGGCAAGAAGTTAGGAGGCTGTCAATACTTACACTGACGAAGATTCAAATAGAATTAAATAAAAATTTCCTTTAGTGTACATAATGTGACTAAAAGAAAAACAAAAAAACAAGAAGTAAATAAATTTTAAAATGAAAAATATGACGTCAATATTGAAAAAAGAATGAATTTGAGAGTAGACTTATGGGTAACTTTATAGCCCTCCTTACTGACTACTCAGAACTATCAAAAACATGAACTACAATAACACATGAAAATGACCGAGAGTTGTTGTTTAAAGGCAAAGTAATAACCTTGCGATCTATCAAAATATTCATGCTGATCAAATGTAAGCAAGCCAATCTTGCTTTGAATACATAATAAGCTTATAGCCCGTGGAAAGCACTGCCGTTTTTTGGAAAATGCATGTGTAAGCAAACAAAAGGCAGCCTTTAAGAAGTTTAAAATGAAAAGTTTGCAAATAAACATGCAAACAATAAAATACAGATGATTTGAAGTCACGTGCATAAAGTATGAAATAGCTTTCAAATTTAATTACAATATCTTGAAAAGCGTGCAAGTGAATCTTGTAAGGAAGTGATAAGCAAGCAAACGCATCATATAAATGCATTAAAAGGACATTGAAGTATACCATGTAAATGCACCAAAAAACTTACAAGTACGCTATGTAAATGCAAAGAAAAACATGCGAGTGCACTAAAAATAATGCAAATACATCACCTAAAATTAACACAAATTTACAAGCGCACCAAAAAACTCATTACAGCGCCAAAATCAATATATCCACATATGCTTAGACAAGTGAGCTAGATACTCGAATCAAGATTTCAAAAATGCTAAGCAAAACTAAAAATAAAATGAACTTTGAATTTTGCTCCACTAGAGAAGCATGTCATTATTCTGCACTTCACAAACTTTATTTCTAAACTAACTAATCAAAATACTCACTATTGAGCCAAACCGCTTTGCCTATAGAACAGAATCATAAGTCTCACTTTTTATACAAGATCCTTCACATCCTAAGACAGAATAAGATAAAATTTGAACCCCACAAAAGACATAAAAATAATAAAGTTCCAAACAAATCATGATAACATCATGATTTCAAATCTTACTCTCTCTACACTATGCTTACAAAATAAATCCAAATATTTATACTTGGTCCTGATATAAGGAAGCAGAGTCAATGAGATTTGCAATGCATCAAATATCTAAGGGGCTGATTGGGATCAATTTTTGTTTTTTATTTTTTTGTTTTCGAAAACAAAAAAATTAAAACAAACATAAAAACAGTGTTTGCTTATCTGTCATTTGTTTTATTTCTATTTTTTATTTTATGGGAAAACACTTTTGTTTTTAAAATATTAAAAGCGGAATTTTTTTTTTGTTTTTAAAATACAAAAATAACCCTGTGCCAAGCCGTTATTTTATATCTGTGTGTGTGTGAGTTTATATATTATTAAATAACTTGAATAAATTTTATCTTACCTTCCTTGATCGACCCCTGAGCCACGCGCAGACGTGATTCAGGTCCCTCTGTACACAAGCTTCTCTGGCTTTAGCTACTGCACGAGCTCAGCCCTTCTTCTCCCATCTTCCTCTTTGTACGCAAGCCCTGAATCATACGAGGACTCAAGCTTCCGCTCTCTCCTTACAGAGCTGCAACATTCACCTTCGTCAACTCCTTCGACCATAGCTGAACACAGCAGTGAAACTGCTCGTCGACGCCGCCTCCCTCTTCCTCCTCCTTGCTTGACAGAGACGTTTGTCGACGTTCTTACCTCCGGCTACGGGGATGCCCAAATTTGCGCCTGTCACTCTTCTGCATCTCAGTTGTTCGATTCTTCTTCTCCTCCTTCGTTTCCCTCATTTCCTCTCCTACGGTTACTAAAAAAGGGATGTTCCATGGTTCACCATAAAATAATACAAATAAAATACGATCAAGGCTAAAGTCTTGATATTCTTCAATAGTTCAACCCCTTGAATTGTAAATTATTGGATATATTGGATATGACACAGACTTCTTTAACTAAGATCAACTTAAAATTATGAACAAACATTCACTCCAAGCTTATTAAATCTTCAAGGATGATACAACAAAAATCTCTTGATCATTTTAGGTTAACTACTTCCATAAGCTAAATAGAGTCTACAATGAGTCTACAATAACCTGAATGATAGAATCATGAGATCTTCATTGAGTTTGTCATCATTTCTCTCATCATCCACTCTAAGATAGGGGTGTTGAATTTTTTTGGATTAAAACCAAAAGTATTTTAACCTAAAACTAAAAATTGACCACCTAATAACTAAGCCTTAATCCAAAGTTTTTTTTCTTCTTCTTTTTTTTTTTTGTAAAAAATGATAATTACCAAAGCAACTAATTTGCTACAAAAATTAACCACAAGGCATGTGTCAACAAAAAGCTCACCAATTAAAGAAGCTATTGTGGAAAGTGTTTCATGTTAAATAAAAATCTTAAACTAATAAATTAAACTCAATGACTAATTTACCAAACGGAACTAATTCTAAAAATTTTCCGTGCAAAATGGCTCTAGCAATCTTAAACTATTAAGTTAAACTTACTTGTTCGAGCAGTCGTCCCTGCATTGCCCACGCTATCATAAGAAACAGCCCATGCAATGTGAAAATAGCCATGGTTAGATGTCCCAGCCAGACATGATATCTAGTAGCTTGCTCAAATGGAATATCTGTCATTCGGAGAAGAATCGACCCTCTTGAAACAGGAAGAAATAGAAATGCTAGGCAAAACAATCCAATTAAGCCCAAACGAAGCCCCATGATCTCTAGCATCAACTCGCTGCAATTAAAATATTAATTTTCATCAATATTCAGTAGGAACTCGCAAAAAATAGTGCTAGACAAAAACACTTTCATCTAATTTGCAACTATCAACTTGTGCATTTCTGATTTTTCTACAAAAAGATCATCACTAAGAAGGGACGTTAACTGATTAAAAGACAACAAAGAAAATTGAAGGGCGCCCAGGAAGGCTACTCAATGATAAATAGCATGTTGCACCCTTATAATTATCATTAAAGAAAAGTTTAGCTTTCTCCTCAATAAGGGTTTGCTTGCTTCAAAAAAAGTTCAAAAAGGGAAGGAAGTCAAAGATCAAGCGAGTTTGAGCAAGTTAACCTCGGTTTAAAATTAAAATTTGATTTCAACTCAAGCAAAGTTTGAGTTGGGCAAAACAAGACCTATTGGAATATATATATATATATATTGTATCATATTTTGAGCTGCTAACTTGCTTTAAAATTGAATTGAAATAATCTCAAGCGACCCATACACAAATCAAAGCAAATCAGGCCTGAATAGATTAAATGCAAGTATTCATGCATTGAATTTTGAGTTTCAAATGTAACTGGCGGTCCTAATGTCAGGTTCGATCTTTAATGGTCATAGAGTTGAAAAGCATAATGACTAGAGGCCATTAATACACATTACACAAGAGTTGCCCTAAGAAAATAAAGGTCAACTCCACTCAAACCTCTTACACTTAAGTTAGATAACAATAAGGATTCGATCTCGTTGAATCAGTAGAGCGGGGTTGTGGGAATCCAAATGTTGCTCATATTCAAGTGAGATGATTTGCTCTTTAAAATTTGAGGTTTTTAGGGCTGGCATAAGAATGAAGTTGGAGACGGATCATTGGGCAGAATACGTTAATGAAATAGCGCTTCAAATCTAATGACTAATTGCAGTAGGAATCACAAGGAATGGAATTTAATAATTCTCTCTATTAGCATTAACATGCTATGATTTACATCAATTAGTTAGCAAAAAAGTGAAGATGAAAGCAAACCATATTGATTTAAAGTTTCTAGAAATTTGGATCACTCCATAATGTATTGAATAGACCTGCTTATAGATCTGGGCATAAGAAATTTTTCAATAGCTAAGAATTTCTGAAAGGAATAACAAATATGAAAACAGTCTAGTCCATTTTGCCTTCAAAATTATGCTTTCAAAAGAAAGTTAAAATTTTCATTGATCTAAACTAAATGAAGCAAGTCAAGCCAACCTAAAAAGGATCATAGTTTGTGTTGTAATGAATCTCAATTATTAGGCTAGATAGACCCGGTCTACAAGGGGAGGCCCCTTCTATTATAAATAGAAGGGGTGGCTTGTAGGGGAGGGTTGAGGGGAAAGGAACCAAGGAGGCAAGGAATGAGAATTAAGAGGAAGTAGAGAAGAAAGGGAGAGGCTTTAAGGATTGAGGGGAGAATCTTGGGATCTAGGGTCGAGGTTATTAGAGAGAGATCGTGGTAAGATGGGAGCTCAGTGAGATCTTGGGTCGAGGTGAGTCGAGAGAGAGATCTGGAGCTTATTCCTCAATGGTGTAGAAGCCTTGTAATTCTTCTCTATTATCTTAGTGGATTTGGTTGATTACCTCCCGTGGATGTAGGTCCGAATGACCGAACCACGTAAATCCTCTTGTTTGCTTATGTTCCTGTGTTTGCATCTTCTTTGTTGTGATTTGTGGTTTGTTCTCTTGCCAAGATTGAGGAAAGAAAGTGTTTTTCCCACAACAGTTTGATTAAGGCTTTAAACCCATACCAAGCGGCTCCCATGCTATTGGCTAGTAGAAAAGATGGTGATTGGTTCATAACGAAATAAAATGTGATATCTTCCCAAATAATAGTAGAGGAAGCTCCCTAAGCATCATAAAATTAAACTAAGTAAACAAGGTAAACTTAAGATAGCAAAGCACCTCTAGCTCGAGCTAAGGTAGAAATTCAGGGGCATCAAAAGCTCCCTAAGAATCATGATGAAATAGAAGCATGTGGACGTGTGTATCTTCTATGGTAAATGAGAAAGGGTGGAGGCTTTTTGGGATTTTATCCATCTACTTGGACTGGCTATAATTAGTTGCACCCCAAGGAAAGGGGAGGAGGCACTACAAACTTGTAGGTGGCACTCACAAGGGCCTTAAGGCTTGCAATATTAAACAAAATTTTATACAAAATGACGAAAATCTTACAGTTTATAAGGTTAAAAAAAAAAGCAAATTATGTGTGTTGAATTGGACAATCTAATGATCTGAGCCAAGTTTTTATTTTGGTTTACTTTAGTCTTTTTTTAATTATTATTTTTTTATAGCTTTTGTTTAATTTCATTTGTAGTTCATTTGAAGCATACATATGATCATAATCACTTTAGAGAATATGTTGTGTTTTTAAATTTTTATGCTCATTTTGTTGGGTTAAATATTTTTTTTTTAATTTTTTTTATGCTCACTATTCTATAATTTGGCCACTCTTTTATTATTCAATCACTATTTATAGATTCAGCCCTCTATTGAGGCATCTACATTCTCAGATTTCAATTTTTTCCACTCCAACTATTCTATATCGGGCTTACCTTGGCTACTTGTTGTTGGCTTTGTCAAGCATCTGTGATTTTTTGTTGATTAGTCTTGTTATTGGCTTCATAGTCTTTTTTTTTTACTTGGACTATGGTTTAATTTGTTTATTTCATTATCGGTTATTGTTTCATTGAATCCTACGACTACAACCTGGATGATTAATGGTAACCATTTTATTGGATTTTCTTAGAGCATGAATTGCTCACCATAAGTTTTCTTCTTGGGCCTGAATTACACCATTGTTACAATATGTTTTCCGTTTTTGATAACCATGAATTGCAGGCCAAACTTTTTTATTCTAGGATTACCACAAAGCTAAGGATTGTGTTTCAAGTATTGTAGCAAATGTCTAAATTTGCTGTAGCTATGGATTGCACTTTCAATACTATATCAAGTCCTAAAATTCTAGCATTTGGATTCAAAAGTGATACTCGAAGAAGATACTCAAATCATAATAAAAATAGAAATATTATTGTTGAAATCTAATAGAATTGCAAACAAGGACTTTTGACACTTAGGAAATAGCAAAATCAACCAAAAAGACACCCTAAAATAGAGCTGAAGGTGGTGGCCAGCAGCAGGGCAGCAGGTAGGTGTCGGTTTAGAGGTGGTTGGGAGAGTGCAAGAGTTGGAACTGGTTCTGACAACATTTGGAAATCAGGTGCAGGGGTTATGGGGTGCTGTCTTAGTAGTTGTAGGGGGTGTTGCGGTGGAAGGAAGGCCGATTGGGTAGTAGCAAAGAAGCAGGTGGGTGGGCTCGTTGCAGAAAATGGGTGGGCCAGTGTTGACCTCATTTCTGGATGAGGTTCTTTTTTGTCTCTCCTTAGAGCCTTCTCTCCTTAGAGCCTAGGGTCTAGCTTTAGGCTTCCCCTGTTTGACCCTCATAGAGGACTAGTACGGAACACACCTCTCATAGAATTTCGAACCACTTCTTGACCCATTTTGTGGAGACCTCGAGTTTCGAGTTTCGCATGGGCGGTCCCAAATCCTCGACATTCTGTTGAGTTGATTAGTATCGACACATGAAACTCGAGTCGAGTTCCTACATTAATAGGAGCAGCCCTTAGGGAACCCCTTTTGCGACCCGAAAGCTCGATAACGCCGCATTTTACGCACGCATCGCACCCCACACAATTTTGACTTAAATTGACTCGTCCGCCGGCAAACTCGTCCGGACGACCTCGGATGACGAAACGGACTGCACCGACGTGTCCGTTTAGCTAGAAATGCCACCCATATCTCTATAGTTTCGCGCACGAGCGTCTAGCACGGATATTGATGCACCTTTTTAGCAGTGTGCGGGCCCGGGCTCAGCTCAGGTTCGACTCGGGTTCGATTCAGGTTGGACTCGGGCTGAACACAGGCTAGGCACCAGCTCACCTGAATTTGAAATTCAAATTTCAAAATTCAAATAAATTATTTAAATTTGTCTTAATTGAATATAATCACAGGTCTTATTGTTTTTATTTAACCTCCCCCTGTATTTGGAATTCATTAATTTCCCCGCCTGCCAGTAACGGCTATTGATCCCGCTGCCTATTTCTTTCTCCCGCTCGAGGCTCTCGCCTGGCCTTCCTCCTCTGCCTTTCCAGAACGCCTGCTCCTCCTGCTTCTGCTCGATCTCGCTCGACAGAGATCCTCGCCTCCCTGATCGCACTCGCCTGCTCCTCCCTCTTGTGCACGACAGAAGAGCTGCTCAATCCGTCTCCCGCACGATTGCCTGTTCCTGGCCTTCCTCCTCTGCCTTTCCAGAACGCCTGCTCCTCCTGCTTCTGCTCGATCTCGCTCGACAGAGATCCTCGCCTCCCTGATCGCACTCGCCTGCTCCTCCCTCTTGTGCACGACAGAAGAGCCGCTCAATCCGTCTCCCGCACGATTGCCTGCTCCTCCCTCTCGAACGCGATAGAAGAGCCGCTCGATCCCCGTCTCCCGCACCGAAGCCATCTCCGCTCGATCCCGCCTCTCGCTCGACGCCTTCGTCTGCTCCTACCCGCTTGACGCCTTCGCCTGCTCCTACCCGTTCCTCCGCTTGACGCCTTCGCCTCTGCGAATAAGAAGGCTCGCCTCCTTCCTCTCCTCCTTGGATTCGTTCGATCATACCCTGATCGGCTCCCTCATCGCAGAAAGCTTCCCGCTCGCCTTCTTCCTCCCCTGTTCGGCCCCAGCTCCTCTTCTGCGAACAAAAGAGTCTGCCCGAACTCCCTCTTCTTCATACAGGAGAGGCTTCTGTTACTGTGTGATCTAATTCTTCGGTACAGGTCCAAACTTCTCGCTTTAAACTTTGTTTTCTTTCACATAGATACCTTAATCAAAACTTTTAAATCTATTGAAGGTAAAAGAAGAATACAATCCTTTAATTTTGAAGAAGAATAAAATTAAAGTTGGTTACTGTTCTCTCTGGATTAGAATTCAACAGGAAGGCTGAAACTCTTGCACTCATATGCTTACAATTCAGTTTATTTTCTTTAGTCAAGGAAGAATTATACACATGCATTCATATTCTCTACCTGCTGCTTTTTACGGAAATGTTAGTTCTATGTGATGCAATCTTAATCTTGAATAGCTATTGTTATAATTGGGTTAAATTTGCAGAACTTGCCCTAGACGCATTTAGAATACTTCAGTGTTTGGAGTAGGAACCATGTGACTCATTCTCCTTAGATACTACAACTACTGATAGCAGCTACACAGGGGGGGAAATCTGAAGTTTACATGCTTTTCTTCTTACTTTTGCAAAGATCTAAGGGTCCTCTGCTTTTGATTGGTGGAAGAGGGTGGAAGTTATTCATGCAATATAAGGGTTTCTTGTGAACTGACTTATCTAGGCTGATTTGGGAATTGAGGAAAACATTCCACTCAATTCAAACGTATATTTACATATCTCACATATAAACTCTGCCCATTGCATTCATGCCATGCGAATCTTTCATACCATATAAAACTTACTGCAATTTTGGGTAGGAAGTTGCATGTCACCTCTGATCATCCGGGAGAGGGGGGGTTGTTTTACTACAATTTTAATCACTGTTTTGGAGGAATTCAACTCATCATTTGGGGGATGTTTTAATCGCTGTTTTGGCGGAATTAAACCCCTCATTTGGGGACTATTTTAATCGCTATTTTGGTGGAACTAAACCCATCATTTGGGGACTGTTTTAATCGTTGTTTTGGTGGAACTAAACCCATCATTTGGGGACAATTTTAATCACTGTTTTGGAGGAATTCAACTCATCATTTGGGGGATGTTTTAATCGCTGTTTTGGCGGAATTAAACCCCTCATTTGGGGACTATTTTAATCGCTATTTTGGTGGAACTAAACCCATCATTTGGGGACTGGTTTATCATTGTTTTTGAGGATTTTGTGTTCCATTTAAATGTTGTTTGAGGTTTCAATCACTATAGAGTGTTGTAGGAGTGCTGCGAGGTTCTGAAATTAATGATTTGGAGTGCTGCGATGTGCTGAAATTAATGATTTGGAGTGCTAGTTGCTGCCCAGTGTCGTAGGAAGCGCTGTAGGGTGTTGTCCAATGCTTCTAGTTGCTGCCCAGTGTCGTAGGAAGCTGTAAGATCACTGTCCAACGCTTCTAATTGCTGCCCCGAGCTGTAAGAGCTATAGGACCGTTGTCCAATGCTTCTATTTGCTCCCCAGTGTCATAGGAACCGTCTAGTTGCTGCCCACCACAATTTGGGTTCGTTTGGAAGTCGTCTAGTTGCTGCCCACCACGATTTGGGTTCATTTGGAAGTCATCTAGTTGCTGCCCACCTCAGTTCGGATTTGTAGGAAGTCGCATAGGTGCTGCCCATTGCTGTTTGGGTTCATAGGAACTCATGTAGGCGTTATTCGAAATTCTTAGCTGCTATCCGGAGTCGTAGGATCACCGTACACATTTGCTAGTTGCTTACCGGAGCTGTAGGAGATCGTAGGATCACCATACTAGCTCGCTAGTTGCAGTAAGGAGTTGTAGGAGACCTTAGGATCACCCCTTTTGGAATTCCTAGTTGTTTCTACAACTTATTCTACTGTTTACTGTTTTCTTCTTTTCACTGCAATTTATTTAAATTCCTTGCAAATTACGTTGTACTTTGTGAGTTAAACATGCAATAACAATATGCAACAGGAATAGCAGCAGCAGATACGCCACGTACGCAGATACATTTTATTTGTTGTTATTTTTTTATTGCAATTACTCTTACTCTAACACATTATGCAGATACTGAATACAATCTTACTTTCAAAACAAAACGATTTTTCAAAATAAAAAAAACAAAACATAACACGTTCTTTCGAACTTACGGGAGTCCTTCGGAGGAGGTAACCCACGGTTGCTAACGAGATCTCCCCGGTTTAAATGAGTTTCACAACTCGTTTAAACTAAGTAAGTTCAAATAGAAATAGTGATATCGGAACGAGGGAACCGTGAGATCCTAACCGGTGTCGCTCTAATCAACTTGAACCCCCTCAATGACAACCAAACTGAGACATTAAAACACACATGGTAAAACTGTTTGAACTTTAGACTTTAGGACTGTTACTACGACGAGGAACTCGGAGCAACTTCGCGGACAAGGAGTTTGGAGCGAGTGGAGGCGGCCGTCATTCTACAACAGCAGAATGAGTCTACATAGTTTAAACAACCTATAGGACTTTGAGGTAGCTCGCCTAGAGCGACGTAAAACCTCACCCTCTTTTAGGCCCTGCACAACCATGTTGTGCAGCGTAAGTCCTAACTCGTCTTAGGTTCCAAGGTTGTCATACAGAATGACGTAAAACATCTTATCTTCGCGGGCTATTTGCATAACTAGTTATTATGCAAGTGTAAACCCTAACTAATAAAATTGATGTGATTTAATATTCAGATAAAATATTTCTCTAAAACACAGTCACACAGTAGGAAAGTTTGGGAGGTCACTGAGGATTCCCCTTAGAATTTAAAATATTTCTCTAAAACACAGTCACACAGTAGGATAGTTTTGGAGGCCACTGAGGATTCCCTTTAGAATCTGTGACATCCTCCACCCTTTACTTCCTTTGGACTCCTGAAAGGATTGTTCACACTTGAGTCACTCCCACTTGTTTTTTTCACGTCCTACCTTGAAAACCTGAACCTTAAATTCTTGAAGATTAGAACCACTGATCATTATCGAGAGTTTTCTCACTTGGGATGTAATTAACTATACGGGCTTGCCTCTATAGGGAACTTGGAACCCAGGTAAAATAAACCTCATTTAATCTTTGTATTAAATAGGAGAATTTGTCGGTCACATATAAAAGGTTCGCAGACCAAATGGATGTCACAAATCTCGTAGTTTGTATGATTGGGTCCACCGTCGCGGGGTACATTTATCTTTCGAGAAGGTGTATCATTTGTGGTATCGGGCACGATCATACAAATTATTGGGCAAATGAAATCTAGTCGGTCTCATTTTTTTTCAAAATTAAAATACACTTTTTTTATAAATAAAAATTTTCCCAAATTATAGTTTTTGGACTACCATTTGATTTTCGTGTCTGTTTTTTGGCATCTCCTTCAAGATCTGCACTAAGATGTCTCAAAATCTATGATGTTCTGCATCACATTCACATGAAAATAAGAAACACGCACTTCAACTTTAGAAAATGAGTGAAGGTTAATCAGCTTCAATCAAAGAAAAGTAATGAGGCTACTCTACCTTTTTTCTTTCAATGTTATTGAAGATCCCTCAATCATTCCCTGGCTTTGGACTATATATGCAGCAAGAGACCAAAAAACATATGCAGCAAATAGAACTATTCCAATCAGCTCTGCAGCAGAGACAACACCAAAGGGTCCATCCACAAGAACAGGAAATGTCCACAAACGATACCGTGGAAACTTATAATTGTTCCTCCTGTCAGACAAGTAAAATTCATGAACAAAACAGTTCATCGGAATCGCTTAATTCATCTTCCTATTACCACTTAAATACATCAGAACAAATTAATTGACATGAGATTTATTTATTTATTTATTACTGCGTTGTCAGAAAGCTTCGTACTCAATTTTCTCTCCAGAGAAGGCAGCTACATATATAAATGCCAGGATTGCAATGACGAGAATCGGAGCACTGAATCCAAGGAATATACTTCCTGCAAATTCGTACAAATATAAACAATAAACCAAGTAAAAGTTCCTCTCAGGTGAAAAAAATTTGATTATTAGAGCAGAAAACAATTCCAACCTGTGACCCCGAAAAAAGATCCTCGAGTAGATTTAATCCATTTTGAATATAATTTTTGCACAAACTCTGTCGGGAAGAAAAATATTGCAGCAACCCAGACAACGAAGATCACCCACATCAAGGATTTAATCACAAATTTTGCCAGAGTTTGGAGAATAGCCCTGTTCTTGGAGTACCCGAACTCCAATTTTCTTTCCCTTAGAAGGGGCGCCGAAGCTGAGAGATCAGCCATGTAGGAGCCAAGTTGACCTAATTCTACCAGTGGCAATTGGTTTCCTCAACAGTCATACTAGAACATTACCATAATCGTTCCTTTTATATGCAGACAGACGGATCCCATGATCGCACTCCCAATCATCTCATCCATCGAGTAAGACGTTTGAGGCTCTCATAACCGAACACAAAAGCGTGAAAAATAAGAGGGAGAACAAATTACAGAGAAGAGCAAATAAAACTCTAAAATCGACTCAATTTTAAGAAAAAGAATAATAAAAAGGGAATGAAGATAGATGAAACTAGAAGGATGCTAATAAGATAGTCTGCTATAAATGCCCATCACGCATTCTACCTGATTAATTGTATATAGATAACAAAAAGCTTACGCCACATAAAATGAGAGAATAAAACATATAAAAACAAGGAAGGATTAGAGTTCACTCTTTTCCAAATAATTCTTTTCGTCCAAATTTAAGTGGCGGCCATTGCTGGACTGGTTTGAAGTCTGGGTTCCATATGACGCTGACCCGATTGGAGTAGAAAAGAAGAGAAGCGATAACAGCGACGCAGCAATTGCAGCATTGAAGACTGTTGGAAGAAGACAGTCCAGGAGAGCATTCAAGAAGATAAGGAGGAGGTTGTCATCGAATTGAAGGTGCTGGAAGTCGTGAATGCGGTGAGTGCGGTCGTACTCATATAATGATCTGGATGGAAGAGAGATTCGCATGTTTAACTTAAAATTACATACATACCCGGCAATTTACTAATTTCAATATATATATGAATTTTATAGATTTGTTAAAATTATATAATTATTACACATCACGAAATTTTTATATATTAATGTCTACGTTTTTATCAGATGTGTTAGCATCATATAAAATTATTTTTTAAAATCAAAATATATTTTTTCATTTAAAATTTTATGGCACAAAAATATAATAAATATAAATATAAAAGTATAAATATTAGATATGTAAATCCAGAAGATTCATGGCATAGAAATAAATATAATTAAGTTATTAACATATGTGTGTGCTCCATGCCGAAAATTTATAGCTTTAGAGCGATAATAGATAGAAAAGTAGCAAGAAAATATAGTGTGAGTTTTTTTTTGTGAAAATTTTCTAAAAGTGAATAATCACGGGCTCTTAATCATATTAATCCATAATAGATGTGTAAGAACAATGGGGCGCTCTTTCTAAAAAATGCGAGAACAAGATTAATACTTTACAACATATACAACATTTATCGTTATATAGTGTTCAAAACAACGTAGCTATTAGGAACAATCACCTTATTTGACAGTAGCAGGCGATGATGGTGGTTGATAGCTACAGATGTCGCAAGTTATCCCGAGATCTTTAATATGGTTGTTATACTTTAGGATTGCATTTGGGATACGATGGTAGCAAGTTGGGGTCATTGGAGCAATGAGCATGTACGACCAAAGGTGGTCAATGACAGTTTGCGGTCGTCGACGGTAATTGGCGTCAATGTAGACTATAAGTTATCATTGGGTCTTGAGACCAAAACAAGCTCTATAATTTCTTCTCTTCCCCTACTCTTGTCAAGTGAAGAAAAATACTTATTTATAGCCTTTAAGAGAGGGTGTGTTGGTCTTTTGATGAATAACTTCCTCCAACACGTGAGTGTATGACCAATATTAACCCCCTTCATCAACAGCTCTAATATGTTATATGAATGACTTAAGATTGTATTAGGGTAATTGATGGAACACATGTAGTTGTACACACGTCCAACAGTTAAAAGATTGCATGCATTAGACGTTATAGTTTACCAACATAAAATGTTATGGCTCTATCTGATTTTAATATATGGTTTCTTTTTATAATGGTTGGATAGGAAAACAACGCACATGATAGTTGAATATTCAAATTTTGTACTGCTCTCAAATACATCTTTCCGCAGCCGCCTCCAGGTTTGCTTGAATATGCATAAATTAAATAATTTTTTTCACTGCAATACTAATAGTCATACTTTTAAAATGGAAATATTATTTAGTTGATGTTATACATTCAATACAAAGATGATATCTCAAACCCTTTCTTGATATAAAATATTATATTCCTAATTTTGAAAAAGGTAAAAACATAATTTGGGGCAAAAAAGAAATGTTTAATAAGTGATACTCATCTTTGCGTGATTTTATTAAGAGGGCATTTAGGATTTGGAAAAAAAATGGATTATTCTACTAGATATGTCCACATATCCACGTTAAAAAAGAGAAGATTGTGGTAGCTATAGTAGATCTGCATGATCACATTCATCGACATTCTTCATGTAGTAATATTGATTTTAGCATTACATGTGAAAATCAATTAAAAAAATCTATTGAAGCATATGAATATCGCTTAGGGTATTTAATATCACAAGTTAATTGTGATTTAATTGAGTTATGTACATAGGATGGGAAAGATGATGAGGAATGAGGAGATGATAGAGTTGAGAGGATAAATTTAAAATATAATAATTAATAGGTAAAATGATGTATACTATTTTTTTATTTATTCATGTATTATGTGTTGTGAAAATGCCTAATTTTTACTATAATTACTCTTTATGAGATGAGGTTCGCGTAGTACATCAATTTGTTGCAATTTATTTTTTAATTCATTCAACATGTATTTTCTTACATGGGCAACCGTGGGTGTAATATAAGTTTTTTTTTTTTTCTTGCATGTGTTTTTTTATTGCTTTGGATGTTTCTAATGAGATATATGACCATAGGGGTTCCTTTGGATGATCTTATATTGTTGTGGATTTTTACATATATGAAATCGCCATCAGGGCAACGAAAATCCCCTTCTTTTTCAGTTGTTTGGTTGTTGTGGTTTTTTTGGAAGGTCTTTATGGTGATATGTTTTTGTGACATGTATGAGCTCTATATTACATGATTTAAATGTGACTAAGATCCCATTTCCTTGGGGTCTTCTGTTTTCTTAAAGTGAGTTTATTTGTTGGTTTATTTACTTTAAGACCTTACAATTTTATAAATCCTTAATTATGTATTTTTCTTATTTTTATGAGTTAATTGTTTAACTTGATCGTTGCACTATTAAGACAAGCTAATTTTATGTTTGTGATTTTAAACTTGTAGAAAATATGAAATCGATAACTTTCAGTGTCTCCGTAGTCATGCATTTGCGACTGTGAATTGCATTGTTCAATATGTACATCATGAAGGAAAAATAGCTCTCAAAGAAAATTTTACGGGTGTCCAAGGAATGGATCAGCATAGAACTATAACTTTCTGAAGTGGGTGGATCAGTTAAACGATTTCACCTCAGATAGTGATCAGGTGTGAAGAGTGTCTTCGATGGGAAATTTATCTCCTAATATTGATTGTCTGCATTTTAAATTCAATATTATGATAATTTTAATTGTTGTTTAATATTTGTATTTTTTTTTATTTTGATTGTTGTATTACTTACTGTTAAGTGAGATGTTAGTTCTAGATGTACTATATGAACTTTTGAGTTTTTGGGGATACTTAATATAATTTTTTGCTTTTTTTTATGAGTTATTCAATGTGGCTATCTTATAAACAACACAACAATATAAGGGGGAAAATATATTTTTTATGTAAACAGTTGCAGCGCAACTGCTATACAGTTGTACAAAAAAAACAGATACACAACTTCCTGCAACAAATTCTTAGCAAAGTTGCTACGCAAGAACTTTTTAAAAAGCTACAATTACCCCAAACAAACCCTTGAGGTGCATTTGGGGAAGTGGGGAGATGGCAGTACGATGGAAGTGCAATGACAGTAAAGTACCCCAACATGCTTTATAATATTTGATAAAACTGTATTTGATTGCTTTTTCAAAATGCTATGGTTGGTAGATATATTTTGTAATCTAAGCTGGCTAAGGTCCTGTTTGGGGCAGCTTAAAACTTTGGCGGCGTTTTTGAAAACGTCGCTTTAATGTTTGGTAAACACGTTTTAGGTGCGATTTTAAAACCTCTATTTCGTTGTTTAGTGTAAACAGTAGATGCGGGCCTATAGCCTCGGATCGCATTTTTCCCAGACCATTTTCCTCTGTTGCCCTCACACTGCTCTCGGCCCTGTTCTTCGCTCTCGCGCGATCGTGCCCTAGCTACCGAGAAGAATCAGGGAGTAGTAAAGAAAATCGTACATCCATCTCCTTCATCTTCTCTTCTTTGCGTTTTCGGTCGATCGTATCTGTTCTTCTTTGAATCGTTTTCAGTTGCCCTGTTATTCGCTCGATCGAGCCTGCCCTAGCTACCCGAGAAGAAGGCATATAGTGGTACAACAAATTCGTGCACCTTGATCTCCTCCGTCTTCTTCTTCTTTGCGTTTTTTGGGTTTTTCCTCTCCGTATCGTATACCACTGTGTATTTTTTCGTGCGGTTATAAGGGTTTCATGACATTCTGGTATGATTTAACTATTTTTGGTTCATGATTAATGTTAGATCCATACGAAAGAAGACCGTTTACATTTTCTTTAGTGGGAAGCAATTCTTTTAGGGTTTTGATGTGCGAGATCTACCAGGTTTTTGAGGAATATGCTCCCACATTTGATCCATAATAATGCCAGAAATGTGACAAATATTTTTGTTTTGAAGTTGCCTATGGTTGTTGTGATAGAACTATTTCTGTTGTGAAATTGCCAGTTGGATGATGTTATGGTTATTGTCAAGTTCTTTAATTCTTATAAGATTACTGTGATACAAGTGTCACCATATTTGAATCTCTAATCAGGCTTGCTAATAACTCAAAATTGACGTTGATGTTGAATATATGTTTATTTATTTATTGCTAATGTATCTCTTTGCATAAAAATAGTTATTGAAAACAGTAATATGTGTATCTCTTTGAAGGATTTTTTTCCCTTAAGAAGTTGAGTTAGAGTGACAAAAATGTTATATTGCAGCTGATTGTCCTACACCGGTACAAAAAGTCTACAATTATATCAATGTTTTTTGTTCAAAATTTAAAAAGCATGCAATACTTGTTGTGAATATGTCATTGCATTACATACATGTTGTCTCATCATCCGTTCACGTGACAGTAAAAAAATGAGTAAATCTAAAGAGTCTGGATCATCAGCTATGTGAGATAGAGAGACTACTAACATATTTTTTTATTTATGTATGAGGGAGGTCGAATTGGGCAATCGACCCACTACTTATTTTTAGAAGGTTGACATAATCTCACGACTAAATTCAAGGAAATAACTGGAAGGGATTATGATCGAATGAAACTCAGAAACAAATGGGATCAGTTAAAAAAAGACTGGAAACTATGGAAAGAGCTCAAAATGGGATCAACTGGATTGGGATAGGATTCGCTAAAGCGAACAATGAGGAATGATGGGCAGAAAAGTTAGAGGTAATTACATCACTACTTCAACGGATTTTTAGATTCAAATGTTTTGAATATTGATTACATTTTTCTTGTTGTTATAGGCAGTGCCGACGACAAAAAAATTCAAATTTACTGGCATTGAACCAACTTTGGAGGATAAGTTGGATGGTATGTTTACTGGCGTTGTAGCAACATGAGCTCATTTTTTCACCCAAATTAGCAGGGCTTCTGCAAACTTAGCACAGGATATGGAGACGGAGCATATGGGTGACTCAGGAGAAGGTCCCAGTCAAATCCACATAGATATCCAATCCACTGGTGGAACAAAA